CTTGCTAGTCGAAGCAGACTTTGTGCTGTTGAGGCTAGGGACGTGAGCAGATTAAGCCGGATTCCCTGTTTGGACTTCTCTGTTGACATCCACCCCTTGGACTCTTATGACCTTACTCATGCAGTTGCGAGCGCCGTAAAACCTCACTAAAACTAAACACTTTTGTGTCACGACGTGGTGGAATCAGGCGCTCGTCAATTTTTTTGCCCTATGAAGTTATTGGTACCATCGCATAGCTTGTTCATTTGTCTATCTCTGGATGAAAAAAAATTCCTGTCAATCTTGAAAAAAATTTGAGATATTTTGAATTGAAGGATTTTGGGTTCAGAGGCAAAATTAATGAGAAATGGCCGCCAAAATTGAGTGATTTCCAAAGCTTGAGAGCCTTTGGAAACTGTAAATTTACAATTTGCATGCCTTTAATCAACACTTTTCTATAAAATACACACAGCAAAGTGTTTTTAAATGGACATACAAGGTGTTGAGCGAAAAGTTAAAAATTCGATACAAATATTGTCAAATAGATTGAATAATGCTAGTTTCTTCAAATTCATTATTTTGACGAGCGCCTGATTTCACACGATGCCTCACATATTGTTCCATGTGTTCCCACTTTACTGTACACCATTCTCTGTGACCCTTCTCTGGGTTCCTCTTGGCCTACCCCTTGACACCAAACATCTACAATGTCTCACAAGTTTTTATTTTCCCCCAGGTTGATGGAGAACATCCGAGTGCGGCGAGCCGGCTACGCATTCCGACAGGTGTACCCACAGTTCCTGTTCCGCTACAAGATGTTGGCCCCGGAAACCTGGCCCAGGTGGGCTGGTGAGGCGAAAGAAGGAGTGCAGAAGATCCTGGAGGAGCAGAATATCTCCAAAGAGGAATACGCTTTCGGGAAGACAAAGATCTTTATCAGGAACCCCAGATTGGTGGGTGCTAGAATGTGTTTTGTGATCGTTATGGAGGATAAGATAAGATAAGATCAGATCAGAAAGATGTACAGATACTGTTCATCACATACACACACACACTGATGCACACTTGCTCACACACACACGCGCACACACACACACACACACACACACACACACATACACACACACACACACTCACACACACACACACACACACACACACACACACACAGTATGCTTGCACTAACAAACATGCTTACTGTCTCATGCATGATATAAATTATGAACAGTAATATAAACTATAATAATGTTAACCAAGAAAAATACATTATCTTTGTATCTTTTCTCGTCTTTTTCATCATTTAATAAGTTGAATTGCTACAAATTATTTCTGAAGCCCATGCAACTGATATCACAAATTAAGAAACTCGTATGCACTCCCTGACCAGCCTCATTGATGTATCATATTGACTGTGTTGTCTTCTTTCTCTCTCACCCCCCTCCCTCTCCCCCTCACTCCCATGCCACTCTCATCTATGTATCATAATGACTGTATTGTCTTCTTTCTTTCTCTCTCTCTCTCTCTGTCTCTCTCTGTCTCTCCCTCCCCCTCCTTCCCTCC